GATAAAAAACCACCAAAAAGTGGCTGCTCAAGTCGATAATTCCATAAAAAAACGTTTATTTTTGCCCGGAAAACCGCACGAAAGAGGGACCCCCCCCCAACAATAATATAAAAAAATAATAAAAATAACATTTAGGGAGAAAAGTGACAAATCGGGGGATTTCGGCCCCTCACCGGGATTAAATATTACCCCCCCCCCAAAAAAAACCCCAAAAATCAAGAATTTGGGATAACTCCCAAATTGCCCCCGTTGGTTTTGGGGGGAAAGAGCCCCTGGCGCCCTCCAACCCCCCCGTTTTCCGCAGGAAAAAGAGGATGAAAAGGAAGAAAAGTCCCTGAAAGCCCCAAAACGGTGGGAAAAGGCCCCAAAAAGGGCGTTTTTTGGAGGGGAGAGGGAGAAAATTGGGTAAACTGGGGAATATTTGTTTTTTTTATATAACCGTAAAGTTCCTGTCAGGCTCCGGTTTTCCATGGAATTTGGGATGAATGTCTGGAAAAAAGGAGAGAAAGGGGAAAAAAGTGGGGGAAAAGGGAGGAAAAGAAGGCAGGAATAAGGGGAAAAAAAGGGGGAAAAGGGGAGGAAACCCCCCGAAAGAGTGAAATTCCCGGGAATTCCGGAATTTAAAATGGAAGGAAAGGAGGAGCCGGGATAAAAAGGAGGTTGGATGGGAAGTGGGAGCTTGGATYTGAGGTTGGATGAATCTTGGGGTTTTCTCGCTCTTCCTGCTCRGATGCAACCGGAATGTGGGAGAATCGGGAATTTTTTGGCTTTTTTTTCCAGCTCTGAAGACGGAAGGGAAAAGAGCCAGCGGCGACAGCGGGAAAACTGGGAAAACGCCCCACTTTGGCCCTGGGGGATTTGGGAATGGGGAGGATCGGAGAGGGAGCTCGGAGGTTGTGCTGGAAACGTGGGAATAACAGCGGGATCCCGCTGGAATTGCTGGGAAAAGCCCCAAAATGTGGGAAGCGGCGCCTGGGAATAGGGACCGGGAAGCTCCGGAATCCGGATCTGGGAATGCCGGGGCCTTAGTCCTCCAGGGAATATCCCGGATCGGGATTTGGGAGTGGGGGATGTTTCTACCTCCGGAGCAGCCAAACGGAGGCGAAAATCCCGGGAGAAATTCCCATGCGGATGCGGYGGTCCGGCCACTCCAGCTGGCAAAAATGGGTAATAAAAAACCCCCAAATTTGCCTTTTTTTGGTGCCCTCACCTGGGGATGAATAAATAAGCGGGGGGGGGAAAAAAAGGAGCGGGAGTGGAAAATCTGGAAAATTGGGAAAATCCAGAAATTCCGGCGTTTTGGTGGTTTTTTTCCGAGCGGGAAAAAGAAGGATCCGGCGCGACGGCGGCTTTAAAAAAAAAAGAGATGCGTTTATTCCATGATCAGTACAGACCAAAATGCAATATTCACTGTATATTAAAGGAAAAACGGAAAAAAAA